TTTTTTTTAACAAAAAGGTAATTGCGTGAAGAAACGATCTTCTACTGGCTGTACACGTCTAGGGCAAGGAATTATCTGGCAACATCGTTCCCAATTCTCCTTCCACAGACTGTATCCATGAGCAACCTTCAGGGCAGGGGCGATACCAACGGATTAGAACAGAAACCTTATTATACCCCATTGCCAACTCCCCCCTTTTCGTTATGGAGTTGTGTTTAACAAATCTATTAATAGAACACGCTACCGACAACAACAGCAACAAGAAGGGGTTCAATGCCTCCCCAGACACAATGCAACATCACCGATTTGTGTTTTCACTTTCTTTTTGTAGTCTGTCCGTATTACGAAGACATTACTCGATCCGGCATGAAAATCACGATAGGCAGAGTGAAAATGGCACGATGCCGAGTGATGGTTATTGAACCTGCTTGTCGTTTGCCTTCTTCCGAGGAAGAGGAGAAAAATGGCTAGAAAGTTGAGAGGAGGGAGGGAGAATCTGGAGATGGGTAAAGGCACTTGGGAAGCAAAGCATTCTCTCCAATCATCATTTTTGATGAAAACAAACTACTAAACTTAGCAGTGCAGAGAAGGCAACATGCTTTTCCAGACCTAACAGAATCATCATATGACCGAAGATCGACTGCCACTGATAGGCAGCGGTTGAGACGGCCTATAGAATACTAGGCAGAAGTCGATATGGCCTATAGATTATCAGCACCACTAACAGTGTAGGGGGCGTTTCTTCAAAAAAAAAAAAAAAAAAAAAAAAAAAAAAGCAGAGAGGTCGAGACGGCGTATAGATGGAACCAAGGGCCAGCCACCTTTTCCTTGGAAACAGAAACGACCAGAAGGATAGTTACAGCAAATTTAATAACTAAAAATAGATAGACCTGTTGCCTCCCCACCAATAATAGAAAGGAGCCATCTGAGAAGAAGGTGACACTTGGAGATGCTCTTGCCAACCCAGGCAGCACCGACCTCGGATGCTTTTACCAAAAAAAAAAAAAAAAAAAAGATACATGTGAAACTGCGGCACTTGGCGAATGGCGTGTGTCCAAGTGGTTAGGACAGCGTCTGGAAATGCGCAATGTGGTATCAGGTCGTGGGTTCAAAACTCACGGCCTGCGCGCTTTTCCGACGTTTCGCGCTTTCATAGCACCGCGCCATTGAACCCCACCCTTGGGACGACGCATTGGTAAGTTTATACAGACACTGCCTGCGCACCGCCCAAGGGACTGGTCCATGTTGTTAGTATGTTGGGAGCGGGCTTTGGGGNACGCATTGGTAAGTTTATACAGACACTGCCTGCGCACCGCCCAAGGGACTGGTCCATGTTGTTAGTATGTTGGGAGCGGGCTTTGGGGGAGGACTGTTTGAGTGGTCGGCCTTTGGGGGTAGTCCGATGACTGAGGGGGTTATTCCACAGATGAGGGGTGTTCGGTTGGGTCTGATCTCCGACCCGATGATCGGGTCTGCATTTAGTCTAGGGATTTCACCGCGGGCTTTGGGGGAGGGTCGTCTGTCCTGAATAATCAGACTCACGGGATAGTCCGATGTTGGGGTTGCGCCTGAGAATGAGGGGTACCCGAAGGGCTTAGTCAGGCCTCCAGTCCGATGATCGGGTCTGCACCAGACATACTGGCCAGTGCGGGGTTTAGGTTAGGGGTCGGGTTAGGTTAGGGTGTCAGTCCGCATGAGGGGTGTGAACCCCTTCAGGTTCCATGGGGGTTGTGTGGGCTCCTGGGGTGTCTTCAGATGTCTTGGGTACCACCTTGGGTTTCCCGATCCAGAGGTTCACCGATGRTTGAACCCATACCTGTCCCGCCCTGGTCCTGGTCTGATCCCGCCTCTCATGCACCCTACAGTGTGGTCGTAGCAGGACGGGTCCTACGTACTTACGATGCCTGCAGGCGGGCCCCCGTTAAAATCCGACGATGCCTGCGGGATGGGCTTCATCCGGGATAGTGCCTGGTCTGTCATACCCACTGGAGAGATCACTTAGGGGTACACATCAAGGGAATTCCTCCAGGTAGTAGACTCATCTGGGAAAAGGGTGTCCCTGAGTAATCAGGGTGTCCTCTATGGTAGCAGTCAGGGGTCTGTAGTTAGATCCTTGGCACACTGCAGGTTTGGGAGCCTTGGTCTGGTTGGGCTAGGTCTAGGTAACCAGCTATAGGGGCTCCACTTACGACAGTTAAAAGTAACACAGTCAAAGTGTAGTTCGACCCAAAAATCCAATGCAAGGCGCTGGCACTACAAGTATTGAAACGATTAATTTTGGCCACAGACCTTCCTTGGCAAGATCTGGTGTTAGAACGGATCCGAAGATTGGCTCCCAAGACACGTAAGGACGTGCACCCTCTGACTTGGGTAGAAGATAGGTATTGGATCATACCTCGGGCACAGGTGCAGTCTAAGGAACCGGAGGAAAGAGGGGAAGCAAGGAGAGACCTAATTCTAGATGGTTTCTGGACGACTCGACTAAAATACTGGCGGGAATTGCCCTTACCAAACAAGTCAATGCCGACAAGGTATGAGAAAATCCTGCGCCAGCCCTTGTTTGGCAACCGGTGGATTACGAATCAAAATGGGAGGGTATTTATTAGTTCAGAGTCTCCATGGTCCACTTGGGTGAAAAATGGAATAATAAGAATTAAGGACCTATGGGATACTGAGCTAAAACATTGGAAGACTTAGAAAAACTCAGAAAAGAAATTAAATACGCTCACAAACTCCTAGACAAGCTGGACGAAATCCTCTCAGCCATACCCCTATCCTGGATAGTCGCCCTGAGAAAGGGCTCTGATTTCCAGATGAATGACTGGGTGTGTGTAAATCAACCGGATAGTTCCAAGATAACAGGGCAAATATTGGAAGTATATGAGGATGGTGCCCTGGTTAATCTTTTCAAAATTCATAAAAACAACAAGATTGCAGAACAGGATAAGGACAGGGTGTCTTTAGTCCCCTTTAAGGAAATGTATAGGGTGAGAACATTATATGTTACAAAGACAAAAGAATGAATAGTTTATCTTCCTCAGTGTCCTATTCCGGATCTCCCCCTGGATCCTGCAGACTGGTTATGGCGTTCAAACAGGAGATGCAAACCAATGAGCTTACAGTCCCTATCCGTTAAAGCAACCTATAGACTGTTGCGCCCTAAAATTAATATCTCAGAGATGGTGCAGGACAGATGGCATAGACATCTGAATGTCCACGAAGACGAGCTTAAACCAGTCAGGTGGTGCCAAGGACTTGGAGAAAGACCAACCAAGTTTGCATCCTTACAATGGCAGATAATGCACAGATGTTTACCAACGAATGATTGGTTAATAGACCACTCATCATTAGAACAGAAGGGAGTGGCATTACCATGGTGCAAATCCTGTGTACAGGCATTTCCTAAAAGGAGAATCAGGGAAACAATTGAACATATATTTTTGCAATGTCCTGGTGCTGTTCTGTTATGGCGCCGATGGGATTACGTGTGGCGAAGATTCACAAGCCTGGAATGGCCCTGGGAATGGAGGGCAATATTGTTAGGTTATTGGAATCCTCAACTTATAGAGTTATCTAWGTTCCAACAGAACTTCTTTCACCTAGGGCGGAAAGCGATATTGTGGGCATTGTGGCACAAACGATGTATCAAARAAATGRAAGGGGTAATGATTSAAAGTAATGAGATGATAGAAACAAKACAAAACTTTATCCAAACAGAAATCAGAAGCCAATGGGAGAAGAAGAGAACAAAGCTCAAAGAATTCAAACAAAAAGCAGATATCAAACAAGAAATACAGAAATTTCAACTAGACTGGCTAGGGGATGCAGCAGGGGAGAAAATGGGGGAAGTTGTATGGCCTGGAGAGAAAGAGGGGCAAGGGAGGATAAAAAGAGATTACCAGATCAACTTCCATAATTGGCTTGATATCCAACCAGGGGCTTTTTTAAGAGCACCTGAATCTTTTGSGGATCCCTTCCCTCTCTCTTCATCAGCCCTGGTGGAGCTTGAGTGGTTTGGAGGGGGGGAAGATAGAACACAAGGCTAGGCAGAGTGGTAAGGAAGTCATTAGGAGAGGCTAGGGTTAATATTTTCATCAGGCGGTCAGAATTCTGACTGAAGAGGCGCTCCATATTTGCCACTTGCAGCAAAGGTTGCAGATTAAAGGACTCTTTGGATAAGATACTAGGGACGAAAGGTTTTTTTGGGTTGGAAGATTAATAGCCTGGATCTCAGCATGGTATGTTCGGTTACTCCGGGTAGACTGTGAGGACCCCGGCCTCAATCTTATTATTGGTAGTATCAGCCTTGGGCACTGGGCCTTTAAAAAAAATAAAAAAAATAAAAAATAAAAAAAAATAAAAGTGTAGTCTCTATGGTTAGGTGTCCCCGAAAATGTGGATCCTCTAAGTCATCCCCCCACTGGTTGAACATGCAAATCATACACTTCCCGAGGCATAGAGCCCAGCCGCTACTACCACATGTATTTTTAAAAAAAAAAAAAAAAAAAAAAAAAAAAAAACTGCGGCACTTGACTGAAAGGAAAGTTAAGACGGGCAAAATGAGAGAGACGTAGGTGAAACGAACCTCCAAGCCGGCAGCCCCATTCCCTTTATTCAAAACAAGGATATACTCTGGCTTCCCTGATTTCTAGGGGGCCAAGGAAGTCACCAAAATCAACAGAGGTTTGCTCCAGAAAAGGAAAACTTTAAGATAAGATTATACTTACCAGTACTACTCTAGTGCTCACGTGTACAACTCAAACTTCTGGAACCAGATGGTGTGCATCCGTGGGGGGGGGTGTGGAGACGAAGAAACTGCGACGAAAAACAAAAAAGGGTACGACGACTTTCCTTCTGGTCCACAGCTAGTAATAAGAACAAAAGAAGCGAAGGAACCTTGACCTTAACCGTAACATTGTCGTCAGACTCGTCACCATTTCCGTCCACCTTTCCCAGTTTGCCGCTGGCTTACCTGCTTGCTTGTTTCTAGGAACACAAAACGTTATGGTGAAGCAAGCGGCCCCAAGGAAAGGAAAGGATTCCACACACAGTTACCTAAGGCTTGCGCTAATGACATAAACTCTCTCTCTCTCTCTCTCTCTCTCTCTCTCTCTCTTTCACACACACACACACACACGCGCGCGCGCGGACGCGCATCCAACGAACACTACCTCCTACTGCACGATCTCACAAAATAAATACTATGCTCCTCTGAGACTCTCCTACTCTGATCAAAACCACTTGATCGTCTCAATTGCTCTGGCCTTTGTCAGGGGGGGGGGATTCAGGGAACAATATCTCGGGCGCTTTGTGAGAACCCGTCGAATCTCATCCCCGCTCCTACCACCTGCATCAGAAATCTTGTGCACTCTTCGACGGAAGCCCGGCTAGCTTTAACGCTTGGTGGTCCCCTGTCCCCAGGCCAACCATTGCAACACCATCAAGCCACTTGCATCGCCCCATGTCTCGATCCCCAGTCAACGCACATTGTCAAAAGGCCCAGTAGACGGTCACCTCCTGTTGTATTTCTGGGTCGCGTACTTGTAGTCCCTCGCCCAATCGAAGATATCCTGATGAGTTGAGTAAGTGAACTGGTACCTGTATTCACCCTCCCAGGGGCAGACAAAGTGTTCCAGCAATGCTGATCGCAACATGATAACGCTTCCGCTGCCGAATGGAATGCGGAGTTTCAACTTTGGAAGACACAGGTCTCCGCCGTCGAACTTACCGATCGTGAACATGAACGAGAAGCCATCCTTGCGATCTCTCAGCTCGCGGTGGCAATGAGTGTTCTTGTTGATTCGGACAACACGGTCACACCAAACACCCTTATCGCTCGTACCGGTGAACAGAACCTTCCTGTCGGGCGGGAGCGTCTCAATAGCCTCCCGGTATTCGAGGAACATGTCAGGTTCGAAGTACTCGAAGATGCCAGTGAGAACCTGGTTGGCATGGTCCAGATCCAGGAGGAAGCTGCATACTGGTCCAAAAATGCCCGTGATGGGCGTAGAGTATTCCGCCGTATCCTTGGTCTGCCCTACGAGGGCGGATCTGAAGTGGTAAGAGCCGCTCCTCTGGACGGGACCGTCCCGGTCCTTTGGGACTCGGCCGTCCTCTTCCCCACTCCTAGGTGGGGGATAAGCTGCAGACAGCCTGTCCGTGATTTCCGCCAACTTTTGCTGAGCGTCCTTCTTCAGGCCATAAGAACTACTGAACTTCCTAAGCAGGACGTTGCCACGGGAGTCGAAGACGATGCAATTATCTGCCATCCTGCTAGCTTCGCTTGCCTCCTTCGCCTCAAAGTCTGCAGTATACGCAAGCTTGTCACGAGAAAAATCAAGGAAATGCTGCATCATGTCAAACGTTGGGTGTCGGTAGGTTGCCTGCCTCTGCTTGACCTCCTCCTCCCACTTCTGGTTGGATGACTCCGCTTTCTTCTTCAATTTCTTCTCCGCCCTTGTCGCCCCACCATGGGAAGAGCATGTAACATCAAGCTGCTTCCGTGCCTTCTTATCTCTAGTCCCCCCTCTCTGTGAGGAGGACGCCGTAGATGCGTTCATGGTTCCCGAAGACCTGCACGATAGTAACAGACCCAGACACTGTCAGCAAGAACGGACCAGGCTCTTCTCCTGTAGGAAACTCGAAAGAGGAAAATTTTTCAAAAAATCAATTAAAAGGAAGGCTGACGGAGAATAGACAGTTGGCAAATCAAGGCTGCACAGAAACCCGCCTCAATCCCTGAGACCGTCGGATGACAGCAATGAAGCAATGAAAACATGCAAGCACAAGAAAGCCAAAGCATAGCACTAGATCATCATATTATGATAGACATCAACACGAAACAACTGTATTATCAGCAATGCAATAAATCAAAAATGGGCAAGCTTCGCCCGTAGCCAGGTAGCCCGCCGCACGAAGACTTCGTTTCAGCACAACTCATGGTGAAGAAGGCGGACACTACCGCTCAAAGACATCCGCCACCCCCGTCCCCCACCCTAAACACAATCTCCGTCCGCTCCAACTCCCATGCATGGAAGGTGCAAACGGAGTCGACTGGCGTTCTCCATTCCCAAGTCCCCAGGCACGGAAGGTGCAAACGGAGTCACAAAAGGGCCACAGTAGACCAAGGGCGATGGCCTTCAGATGCCGTCTTCAAACTGACCTGCCCCAGGTAAATTCCGAGTTCATCTGAGTCGAATAGGATTCGAGGCTTTCGAGCTGAGATCTGTACTCCAGGCGTGTTGGTAGTCAAGCACTTCTACGCAATGGCACAGCCTGAAATAGGACGAAGACTTTCGGTTTTGAACTAACACAAAAGGAGACCAGCCAGCAAAATTGAAGTGATCGCTGCATGGAGCATCTGCCAACGATGGGATGATGCTGCAGACAGTGCAGAGCGAAAATATAGAGAGTAGCAGGAAAGATTGTCTTCATGGAAGAGACGTCGGGCAAAAAAACAGGAAAGGAAAAGAGCAGAAAAAAAAAAAAACAGTCAGAAACAGAGAATCCAGGTTCATGGAAACGATCAAACATGAGGCTGATGCTTCGTGAAAGATCGAACCGTGGTCCCTCTAGTCCCAACGTGAGGCCAACATTCCACAGCAGACCCAACCTAGGTCCCTCCCTTTTCGATTTCGTTTCTCGAAATTAGCAAAAGAGCCACACATTTTGCAGGGGAATGGTCCTACTGCAAGTAGGCCCTCACTCTCGAAACATGCGATTTGCAGAGTAGTGGAGCAAGACCCATTCTGAGATCGCTCTCAAATTGAAATCTCGAGAGGTCCCCACATTGGGCGTCTCAGCACTACTCTTGAATCTTGAGAAATCAAGAGTTCATCACCGCTGCACTAACTCTGGATGCCGCATCCTGAATTTCCATTCAAGAGCTGTCAGATTCACTCTCGAAAACTTCGAGAGTGAGTCATCGCTGCACTAACTGTGGAAAACTGCTCTTGGTCCGGCGCTTCAAGAGGTGTCAGAAACGGCCCATCGGACGAGCTCTTGAAGTTTCCACAGTTCCCGCCTGCAGGGGCGTTTTTTCAAACGAGGCCGACGGGTCCCTTCGTGTGGTGGTTTGCAAATTCGAGAGTTGGCCTCCAGTCTCGGTGGACAAATCGTCGCTGCCCTGTTGAGTAGCGTCTGTTGGAGAGTCAACAATGCTCACAAGAGTCGAGAGTCGAGAGTCGAGAGTCCAGAGTCCAGAGTAAGTGCAGCGACGACAGCACTTGATGCCAATCCAGGAGTCCGACAGCGCTAGACGTACTCTTGAAATTTTTCATGTGTCCAGCGTAGTGCATCGAGGCCCATTTTTGCTGCTTCAGATTACATCCTCGGTGTGGTTTCACTCTCAGTAGCTGGTTGGGAAAAGCAGATCGATCCCAGAGGAAAGGACAAACCCTTCTTTGCCCCTAACCTGAGGCCTACTCCCAAATTTTTGAGGAGGTGCCACAAGGTCAAAACACTGTTGAAAAAAAGGCTGTTGCAGGTTGTCATCCTCTCACAACTTAAAAGTACTCGCAAACACCTCATCTGACAAGTAGTGGAGCGAGGCCCATAATGGTTCCTTTCCCTGTTTATGTGTGTCATCGCTGCATAGGGGCCATCATGGTTTCTGTGTGGATGCTGGCAACTGCGGAGGGTCTTGGATTCTGCGTGGGGGCTGCTGCCTGCGGAGGATCTCATGGATGTCCCGGGTTGACGTATAAGTCCTTGCTGCAACTGTGCTGGGGTGGTGGGATGCTTGTCATGACCGTTATGGGTCGAGTTTTGAACACAGGGTCACAATGGCAGTGGTAAAGGCATCCGGACGTTATAGCCAAGATCACCGGTTCAATTCTGTCTGACTGCGAAACTATCAGGGCCACAACGACGAACTTACCGACATGCTAATCATGCACAAAAGATCGTTCGGATTCCTTTCACGTTCTAGCAGAAGATTCATATTACTCATTTTGCACGCTTGGTGAGTAGTGGAGCTAGGCCCACTGTTGCCTTCCAGAATGGAACAGCAACGTGGGCCATGAGGGGCACATTAGAAAACGGAAAGTCAGAATCTTGAGATTTCGTGTGGTGCTCTCATGCTCTTGAACCCTCGCTCTTTGAGCGTTATGCGGAAGGCCCTACGTATTTCTGAAGAAGCAAGAACTGGCAAGCTTGGCGCCCGCCACCTAGAGATATGCCGTTGGCCCCCCCGAGTGGCATTGCGCAGAGACTGCTGGTGTTCATAAGGGGAGGGAGGGCCCATCGAAGAAGCTCGGTCCTGAAGATCCCGGCTGACCCCTGGCCGGTATCACCCACCTGCTGTAGCAGGTATTGCACCTGCTGGTGGGTGCAGCTCCCGCATGTTCCCTCGTTGGAGGCTTGAGCACGGATGTGGCTGCTATGGGGTTCCCCGTAATACTATAATGACAATAAAAAAGGCCTGAAAGGCCGTCCTGTCCAGATTGGACAGGTAATTGAATTGGTTGGGCTTAAGAAAGAAAAGTAAAGAAGAAGAAGAAGAAGAAGAAGAAGAAGAAGAAGAAGAAGGTCCTTCAGGACATCCGTTAAAATTGGAACGATACAGAGAAGATTAGCATGGCCCCTGCGCAAGGATGACACACAAATCGAGAAATGGTCCAAATTAAAGAAGAAGACGAAGAAGAAGCAATAACAAAACAAAAACAAAAGAAAAAGAAAAAGAAAAAAAAAAGGAGTTCTTCAGAATAGCCCATTGGATTGGGGAAAGCGAATCACAGTGGGTTCGGGAAGAAGAAGTTCCCGAAGCACACAGTGGATTCCGCCTCTCAGAGCCTCGCTGCACTGCTCACCAGACTCGACAATAGTTGGTGAGCTCCTACCAAAGCGGCAAGACCTAAAAAACTTGCCAATACCATGCCTCGCCGCACCGCCTCACCAAGCTCTTGTTGCATGGAAACATATTCCCATCAATCCACTAAAGACAAAAGAAAACAACAAAAAGGATGTCCATACCAGCAGTCTGGACGTGCATGAAAATCGCCAAATTTATGGGCGCGGGAAAAGCTCCTACTGAAAAGAGGAGTTGCAGGCTCACCTTGGGAGTTGGCGCATGGACCTCGCCAAAAACCGTGTTTGGTGAGTAGTGCGGCGAGGGCCTTGACAGTTTTGTTAGACATATCTAGAAAATCCTAGAAAGTCTAACAAAACTGTCCTAGAACGATATTCATGAGTAGTAGTTCCCCTTCACCCGGTTTTCAGTTCCACCAATCCCATCACATATTGATTTCGGTGATGTCATCTCGGTCGAACTTCATCCTAGAATCTCAGGTCTCCTCACAAGGTACCTACTAGAGCAATTCGAGGAAATGGCTGTGTGGTCCTGGAGTTTCTGGATGCGTCCTTGAGATGTTTTGACATTTTCCTTTTTGGACTCTTTATGAACATCTTCCCCCAAATAGAACACATGGTCATTACAGCTGTCATCAGGGCAGCTTTCAGTCTAAATGCAGGGAAAGTTGGGAAACTGACTGTGCTTTCTACTCGGCGGAACTTCAAGACGATAGGAGGCAGTGGAATGACGTGAAACCTGTTTTCCAGGGTTTTTTTCAGATGCGTCTAAGGGGACCCTGACTCAGCCCAGACTTGCACACAGTGTCAAGATAGCGCTGGACTCCCGAGTCCTGCAGTCTGCACATCCAGATCATGCACCTGGCCAACCACGCTCTCCAAGTGCATTTCTTTTTTTAGGTGGGATACTGGACCAATGACAGTTCCCCACAGTACTCGGCCACTCGGTTGTCCAGCTGAATCCCTCTGAAGACCCCACCCACCCTTCCTCTTATCATTTTTGTCCTGGCACACCCCCACCTCCCCTGTCCTACCCTACTGTTAACCACCCGGGACCATCACCCATTGCCATATTGGCCGAGTGACCTGACCAGACAGCGGTTGCAGGCACCCAGGCTCGGCAGAGAGACCTACCCCCCTGCTCAGCCCTGGTTGCAGACGCCGTGCGCTGAATCCCTCTGAAGACCCCACCCACCCTTCCTCTTATCATTTTTGTCCTGGCACACCCCTACCCCCCACTGTCTGACCCTAGTGTTAACCACCCGGGACCATCACCCATTGCCATGTTGGCAGGGTGACCTGACCAGACAGCGGTTGCAGGCACCTGGGCTAGGCAGAGAGACCGACCCCCCTGCTCAGCCCTGGTTGAAGCAGACGCCGTGCAAGCCTGATTGCACGGGGACTTCGGGAGCTAGGTATGAACATGTTACTACAGGTCTTCATGAGAGTGCACAGTGTTACGCTGTATAACTACTATTGTGTTTGATGGCAGAGAGCTGGGGATCCTCCATTCCCTCGTATATCCCTGGAGTCCGTTCCGGCCCCGTGGTAAGGTGCAGTATCTCCTGACAACCCCGACATCCCATACTAAGGAACTGCTATGCCAGCCTCAACCCTATGCTACGTACTAGGAGGATAGCCAACCCTGAGTCATGTGTGTATTGCAGTGTTCTATTGTGTTGATGGTAGAGAGCTGGGAATCCTCTGTTCCATCATATATCCCTGGAGCCCGTTCCGCCTCAACCCTATGCTATGTACTAAGGAAT